AATATGTCTTCCTTGCATCTGCTCAGGACTGGATGCCAGTAGGGTAGAACACTGCCTCTTGAGTTGATTCCAGGATTTTTCAGTGCTTATTTAGCCATAGGAACTGGATGGTGTTCTCTGTAGTATGAGTTGTCTATCTGAAATTTGGGCCCATGTCTTACCTGGCTTCTGCAGGCAGCCAAGCAGGAGGTCAGTGGCTGGATTAAGAAAATTGTCAGTGCTTCTTTGAAGGAGGGAATAATGTAGATGAAGCTGTGTGTCTTCTCTTGAAGATGGATCAAATCATTTTCAATATGTTCTATCTGGTTTCCAAACTAGCCTTTGGGAAGAAGACTTCTGAGAAAATGGTTGAGATTCGGTTTCAGAAAACCCCAGAAGAAATAAATTATCTGGATTGCTACCAGATGCAGACCCATCTTAAAACTGAAATGGCACAAATTCTGGATAATCTTTATTGGGCCCTCCATTGGGGAAAATGTGCTCTTCTAGTTCTTTAAAAACTTTCAGCAACATATAGATTAAAATACTTGATTGGTCAAGTGTGATTAGACACACAAGGAATTTGTCTCTGGTGCATAAACTCTCAGTGTACATACAACACAACAAAGTAATAATAAGGAAAATGTCAAAGTAATAATAATCATAACGATACCAATAAGAGAAGACAGTGGAACAGATGAGGATAAAAGTAATACAGCCATACTACATGGGTAAATATACTTAGACATAAGACAGTACTGTGGGAATTATTTTAAAGACTGTAGTAATATGATTACTAGCTTGATGCCCATGCTTCACTATGAAAATAAGGAGAAAAACTTTCTGCCTCTGCCTACCAGCATCCATCGGTATTCCTCTGGCTAGTGTCCTGTCAGTGTGTGAGAGTTGAGGGCTGTTGGGAAACTGAAACAATATTTGCTTTGTGAGCAAGGAGACAGCAAGGAGCCTGGGTGTGGCTTAACTCAACTGTTCTGTAGTAAAACTGCTTGCTCTGTGAAACTAAAACTAAAACTGAAACTCCTCTCCTCTGCTTGTGTTTTGCAGGTGGGGAAGGGGAGTAGAACACCTTAGTATCAGAGCATGTTAATAATAATATACAAAATACTAATGCTATGATGGTCATTTCGAAAAATCCTTTTGTACTGAGCACCTAGAAGCCAAGAGGAACATAGGTGCCAAATTTCAAGTTTCAAGGCTTTACAGTTCTGGAGATTTTGTGATAGATAGATAGATAGATAGATAGATAGATAGATAGATAGATAGATAGATAGATAGATAGATAGATAGATAGATAGATAGATAGACAGACAGACAGACAGACAGACAGACAGACAGACAGACTGATTGATAGAGGGAGTCAAAGCTACTTTTCAGACGCTCCTTAGACTACATGGGTTCACACATTGAGTTAAGCCTAAATTCAGAGCTGTATCAAGTAATGGCACACTACATTTTTTATTTACACTACTTACCCTCTCCTGAGAATGCCTCTTCTGATTGTTTAAACAAACTTTACTGAATAAAGAACAATTGACTGGCTTTGCCCAACAATCTAAGCCATAAAGAGGGGTTTATGAACTACTGTATCTGCTCCATTTATATGAAGCTTCTGGGTGAGATTATCTGTCACCATGGACTGAGGTATCACCAATATGCTGATGATACTCAGCTGTATGTCTCGGCCCCTTGGTGAATTAAGTGTTGCTGTGTCCTCCCTCTCGCAATGCCTGGAGGCTGTTAGGGGCTGGATGGGGAGCAACGGGTTGAAACTAAACCCTTGCAAGACCGAGTGGCTCTGGGTTCGTTGGCTCAGGCAGAATTTCCACTTTTGGTCTTGGATGGGGTGGCACTACTCCAAACAGACCCTGTGCATAATCTAGGGGTTTTCCTGGACTCACAACTCCTGTTCGAAGAGCAGGTGGCAGTCGTGGCCAGGTGGGCTTTTGAACAACTGCGGGTTGTGCCCTTTCCTGGACCAACGATCCCTACTCACAGTCACTCATGCCCTAGTCACTTCCCATCTTGATTATTGCAACACACTCTACATGGAGCTGCCCTTGAAGAGCATCCAGAAGCTCCAGTTGGTGCAAAATGCAGCGACCCGCATGGTTTTGTGCAGACCAGAGATGGTATTCAGCAGGTTCTGACCAGTTCTGGAGAACCGGTAGCAGAAATTTTGAGTAGTTTGGAGAACTAGCAAACTTCTGACTGGAGATTTTACAGTATCCTTCCCCTGCCATGCCCACCAAGCCACGCCCACAGAACCGGTAGTAAAAAAAAATTGAATCCCACTACTGGTGCAGACCCTGATGTGCACATGTTTCACCTCTTCTGCAGAAGTTGCATTGGTTGCCGATTTGCTTCCGGGTCAGGGGTAGGATTCAACTGGTGTTACTACTGGTTCGGTGATTACATTTTGTGCGTGCATGCATGTATAAAAAACCTTAACCTGTACCACCCAGACAGCTGAAAAGTGCTATGCGTGTGGGTGTGCAGAGTTTGAAAAGCCTGTTTTTTCCTGCTTTTTCAACCTCAGCTGAAAAATAAAGGACAGGTAAGAGCCCAGGTGGGCGGTTGAGCCAAACTGCAGCAAACACAGAACCGGTTCAGTGTCTGCTGCTCTTCAGAGCTACCGGCTCTATAGAGGGTATATATACCGGCCCAAGGGTAGGATACGACAGAGTTAACTACCAGTTCGGGATTTACGAGCTCCCTGCAGGCTGTGAGCCCCACGCCTGTAAATCGTCATCAGCAGCTGCCTGCAGAGAAGCAGCCTTTGAAACAGCCCTCTTTTTTTGCTTTTTTTAACTGCAGCTGTGCCTCGTTCGGCAGCTGAAGTTGAAAAATCAGGAAATAAAGATCAGGTAAGAGCCTGGGTGGGTGGTCAAAAACACCAGCAAACATAGAAACGGTTCTATGTCTGCTGCTCTTCAGAGCTACCAGTTCTACAGAGGTGAACAGAACTGGTAGAAACCCACCCCTGATCCCACCCCTGTTCTGGGTGCAATACAAGGTGGTTTAAAGCCCTTTATGGCTTGGGACCGTGTTATCTGAAGGAACATCTCTTGCCGGTCACATCTACCCGACCCATCAGAGCAGGGAGGCAGGGAATGTTGCGGGTCCCATCCCTGAGGGACATTAAATAAATAAATAAATAAATAAATAAATAAGTAAGTAAGTAAGTAAGTAAGTAAGTAAGTAAAAATTAAATAAATAAATAAATGGCACAACACATTTCAGTTAAGCCTCTCTACTTACAGTAGTTTATTATCAAGCTTCATGGAAGAAGAGTAAGATGGCATTATACACACACATACACACACACAAACTCATACACACTAATCTCCTAGGCCGGCTGGCACAATATGTCATATGAATCAGAGTTGATATCCAGCAAGTTCTGACCAATTCTGGAGAACTGGTAGCGGAAATTTTGAGTAGTTCAGAGAATCGGCAAATGCCACCTCTGACTGGCCCCACCCCCATCTATTCTCTGCGTCTTCTTTTGTTGTCCTGCACAGGAGAACGGAGCTGGAAAGCAGGTTAGTGGGGTGGGGAGGGAAAGGAGATTTTGCAGTGTCCTTCCCCTGCCACGCCCACCAAGTCATGCCCACCAAACCACACCCACAGAACAGGTAGTAATTTTTTTTGAATCCCACCACTGATATAAATATAATTTAACCCTGTGCTGTAACATGTTTATTTTTAGGATGTTTGTCCAGTAATTACAGTTTGTATCCACACTTTATATCTGTACATAATGGGTGAATCTAATCAGTTGTAGCTTATTCAACTAAGCTTAAGTAAACATAGCATAGTTTAGCACAATGCACAGGTTCCGGTCAGTGATTTGATATTTGTTTAACCTGGGACATCACTCAAAGCAATGAGCGAAACCCAAACATTTCAAGATAGCTTAGGTAATATGTGCCTTGAATATTCTTTGAATGTTGGACAGAAATAAGGTTCTCAAATGTAGAGTTCATTTGGTGATTTGGGTCATTTTCTTTTTCTTGGCTCAATCAACCACACAAATTTGTTGCAAGGATAAAATGAGGGCTGACTATACATATCCTGCCATGAAATGAATCCTTTAGTCAGATCTAATAAATAAAAAGAACAATATCACTGCATGGATTAGTGTGGCTTCACACACACACAGCCAAATTGTAATTTGCTTGTTTGTGGTTGAGCGCCTTGTGTAAATCTCAATCAACATGATATGTGGTTTAGCAAGCCCCGTGAACCCTGCAGAGTCGATTTATTTAAACCCACTACTTCCCGTGTGGAGTCAGGTGTGAAAGGGGAGATACCTACCTGCTAGGAAAGGTGACACGTGTCATCGGCAGACAGGGTAGTGGTGCTGAATTTAATTTCCAAGTATGTTGGCGGCGGCAGAGGGCGACCTTCCTCCTCGGGACAGTCTCTGTTAACATGCTGGCTGCGTTCGATGGCAAGCCAGGGTCACATGGGCAAGGGGTGTTTGCGCGAGCCTAAATTTGTCTCTATTTAGGGCTGCTCGCTGACCTGGGACACCAGAGGGAAGGGAAACGCGTTACCTTGATGGTGTGATTTATGACTGTCGCAGTCTGCAGGGGCTGAGGTGGGCGCGAAGCGGGGTATTTCCTGAGGAAAAGGAGAGCGGAGAAAACCAAAGGGGAAAATAAGCAGCCTCGGAACTGAACGCACTCGGTGCCTCGTGGAGCAGGACTTTCCTCTCGCGTTCCGTGGCAGCGCACTCGCGGGGGAGGGGGCAACTCCTTCGCCCCACCCAGATTTTGGCTTCTCTGTTTCCCCTCTCCCAGTCTACAGGGCGGGACCAGGGCTGTGAGGCAGCGGTCGATTGGCCGAAGCGGAGGGGGGCGCTGGTCCGTCGGGGGAGGGGGATGGCTATTCGACTGAAGCCTCGCCTGGACGGGCTCAGCGTCGCGGGAGTACTTGTCCCCCCCGGGCGAAAGAGAGGCACCCGGCAGCCGGAGGGAGGTGAGTATCCCCGCGCGGGGGGAGGCGCGGCAGGACGAGCTTCAAGCTGCTCGCCATGGGGGGAATCGTTTTGAGCAAAGGGCAGGTCAAGTCGACCCGATTGCCAGCTGGCTTGCTGCTGGCGAAAGGCTGGTGGAGCGTTGGTTTTGCGAGGAAAGAAGCCGTGTGCGGTAGGTATGGATTGTACAGTAATGCTTCGGGAGGTCGCGATCCTGAACGGAAGAGGCGCTCGGAGTTCCTCGTTTTGGGGACTAAGCCTGGCGCGCTCGCACCTTCCTTCGCCATAATTTTTGCGGGAAAGGCACTGAAAGCAATCACTCCTTCGGCGGCCCTCCGGCTCAAAGTGGAGCAGGTCGTTTGGCCGTGATACACGGATGTAAGTTAACACTTCGTGTGGGAGCATTGCATCAGAAGAACCCCAGACAGGGGGTTCTGTTCGCGGGTGTTTGTGAGCCTGTACACATCAGGGTCGAGAAATGGGAAAGCCCCCTCCCCCTTCCTCCCCAAAGTATTCTTGGGAAATGTCACACTAAATATGTGACCACACCAAGTCCAGAGAATTTGGGTGAAGAAATTGCAGTGATGAAGAAAACTTCAGAGCATCAACATGTTTAACCCAGGGCATACTTTAGCAAAGAGAAATGAACTATATATTCTACAGATAGGGAAAAGGAATATATTTTAGATCTCTCTTTCTCTCCCTCCCTCTTCAGCAAGGAACAGTTTAAAGTGAATGGTTCTGCTTCCCTACTGAAAAAAGCTCATTTAGTCCTGAATTGGATTGTTACTATAATGTAAGAGAGTCTCTGCAGCCTGAACATGTTGAGGCAGCTCCTCTATGAAGCACACCTGCTGCATTTGATGTTAAAAATTTATATCCTACAACTGAAATTTGGCGTTTGAAACCACCCAAAATGGTTTATGCAACAAACCAACACATTTTTGAAATACAACTACAATATTAAAATTAAAATTGCTAGATGTAACAAACCATGACTCAAGACCCTTTAAGGAAGGAGGGGGAGAGAGTTCCATATCAATAGGCTACTGTCTGAAAAGATCTGATGTTGAAAAGAGGCACACGTCAGGACTGTATAGGTTTGTGGGTGGCTGAGCAGAAGGTGGTCATTTCCTATAGATATTTCTGGAAGGGGGCAAGAGATAGAAACAGTTGCCCTTGGTAAATAGAACAGAAAAATAAGAAAGGGGGCTGTCCTATTGCTCTGTCTGTCCGTCCCTTCAGTCCAAAATTTCTTTTGACTGAAAGCAGCTGTATAAAAGTCTCTGCTTCCAGATTGTGCAGCTGGGTAAGTCAGTTTCAATCCAAACTGAAAGTCTCTTGTACAGCTGTATCTCTGGGGTAGTGGCTTTGTATGGGGAATCATCTCTTCGGGAATCTGTTAAGTTTACAGATCACTGTCACACAGCACAGGAAGTCATGATATGAGTTTGTATAATATCATATAATAGTCATGAAGTAACAAAAATATTTTGCATGTTGTGATATATGAATCCGGAATGCAGAGTGCTAGCATATCCAGATGGACGCTAAAGAAATCAGGCTGGCTAATGGCTATTTATCTACTGTAGCTGACTTCTCAGAGTCATCCTAGGCCATACCTAAACTGCAAGATGGCCTTTTCCAAGGCTAAGTCTATTGTTTACTGAAAGAAATAAAAAAGGATACTGTTAAAAAGATACTGTAAAAAATAATCAAAAAACAGATCTGTGAACAATTATAACTAGACTGAGCCATGGTGGCGTATTAATTAGAATGCAGTACTGCAGGCTACTTCAGCTGACTGTCAGCTGCCAGCAGTTTGGCAGTTCGAGTCTCACCGGCTCAGGCTTCCATTCTTCCGAGGTCTGTAAAATGAGGACTCAGATTGTTGGGGGCAGTAGACTGACACTGTAAAGTGCTTAGAGAGGGCTGTAAAACAATGTGAAGTGCTATATAAGTCTAAGTGCTATTGCTACTGTTGCTATTGCTAGTAGCCAGCACGGGTTTGTTAAAAACAGATCATGCCAAACCAATGTTATTTTATTATTTGACAAAGTGACTAAATTAGTAGACCAGCAAAATACTGTTGGCATAGCATATTTAGAGTTCAGCAAGGTATTTAACAAAGTAGACCACAACCTACTTCTTAGTAGGCTAGAAAAATGTGGGATAGACAGCATCACCATCAAGTACAGATGGATTTGTAACTGGCTGACAAAACTTACTTAACAAGTAGTTCTTAACGGTATTACATATACATGGAGAGAAGCAAGCAGTGGGTACCACAAGGTTCTGTCCTAGGCCCAATACTCTTCAATATCTTTATAAATGACTTAGGTGAGGGAATAGAAGGGGAACTCATCAGATTTGCAGATGACATTAAGCTGGCAGGAATAGCCAACACCCCAGAAGACAAGCTCAGGATCCAAAAAGACCTTGACAGACTTGAACAATAGGCCCTATCCAACAAAATAAAGTTTAATGTGGAGAAAAGCAAGGTTTTACACCTGGGCTGAAATAACAAAAGGTACAAGTACAGATTAGGCAAAACCTGGCTCAAAAGCAGTCCCTGTGAGAGGGAGTCCTAGTGGACAATCACTTAAAGATAAGCGCAGCAGCTAATACAATCCTTGGTTGTATAAACAGAGGCATATAATCAAAGTCACATGAAGTAATAGTACTGCTTTATAAAGTCTTAGTAAGGCCACACCTGGAATACTATATCCAGTTTTGGTCACCACATTACACAAAAAAGGGGGTGAGACTGGAAAAAGTACAAAGAAGAGCAACTAAGATGATTAAAGGCTTGGAGACTAAAACATGAAGAATGGTTGCAAGATTTGGACTTGGCTAGTCTAGAGAAAAGAAGGGCTGGGGGGGACATGAGAGCTGTATTCCAGTATTTGAAAGGTTGCCACAAAGAAGAGGGAGTCAAGCTATTCTCTCCAAAGCATCTGAGGATAGAACAAGAAGCAATGGATGGAAACTAATCAAGGAGAGAAGCAACCTGGAATTAAGCAGAAACTTCCTAACCGTGAGGACAATTCACCAGGGGAAGAGCTGGCCTTTGTAGGTGCTTCATCACTGGACTTTGAAAGAAGAGACTGGACAGTCACTTCTCTGAAATGGTACAGGGTCTCCTGCTTGAACAGGGACATGGACTAGAAGACCTCCAAGCTCCCTTCCAGTTCTATTCTGGTTAATGGATTGTTTCAATGTGGAGCATCTATCTTTTCTGATGTGTTCACACAACACACAAAATGTATCGTACCAAATTTAATCTAGTATATTGTGCAAATGCATTTTGTCTGGTTTGCAATGCTTTATATAAATAGACATTTGTATGTAACTCAGACAATTAAACACTGTGAAAACTCTGTGGCTGCCTGTTGAAATCCTTTCCACATGTGGTAGAAAAGTAATCTCTGATAGGCACTGTTATATCATTTTTAATAATTCCAATTTTTTATTTATGTTACTAATATATTTATGGTAGATCCAAGTCATCAGTAAACAGATTGCAATATGTAAAGTACATTTCGTTTTCAAATGCAGCAGTTCCAATTGAATGGGCTAAAGGAAACAACCCTTCATCCAAACAATAAGAGTTGACTGCTTAATCATCTTGCAAGGCATAGTGTTTTTCTGATTGTGCTGTGCTTTGGTAAAGGATGATAATGATGCATAGGAATATATTTTATGCCTCAATAAATTGAACTGTTGTTAATCTGTAAATCTTTTGAATACCCATTAAGAATATTTTGTAACAACAGGCCAAATCTAATTGGGTAGGATTAAAGATTGGACTAAAGGAGCAAGCAGTTCTGCTGTGAGACCGATGAGCTTCTGGGTGCACATACCAGCAGGGCACTGCTTAAATATCAATATTTAATTTTGCTGGTCTAAAACTACAGTGTTTCATATCTACAGGTTGAATGAAAAATAACGCCCCCAATGGACGGTGGCCAGGCCTGAGTCTTTAGACCCACGTTCCTGACTTCTGATTGTCCAGGAGCCCCTCTTAGGCCCTGTTTGTGATCTCGCAGTCCTAACTCCTTCCACCATACAGCTCAGACTTGATGTTATGAGATGTTCAACTATCCCCCAAAGTGAAGGAATCCTTTGTGGGCATCTTTTGGCTCAAATCAAGAACTCAAAAGGACTTTTAGGCTAGATGAAGAGACAGCTCTAAGAAGCTTGCCATTGTGTTCAGAGAGTGGTGGTGTTATGGTGAAAAAGAATACAGGTAATGAAAGACCTCATTGTGAGGATTCTGACCCTTCCTTTTTTGGTTTATTAAGCTATACCTATTTAAATAAAAGTTATAGTGCTGGAGGCACTGCGTAAATACAGCCTTCTTCTGTCTGTTTAGCTCCTCAAGAGAGAGGGGGTTCAGAGCAGTCATGTGTGGAGCTGTATATGTGCCGACAAGATTTGGAGCCTAATTGTAAAATTAAAGCTTTCTCTTAGAATGATATGACTGGATGGCATTCCAGAGATTTTAGGATAACAAAGCGCTCTGTGTTTTGCTGATTGTGTTTTAGAGGCTGTATCAGTGTTTCTCAACCTTGGCAGCTTTAAGATTCAGAATACCCCCAGTCATCATGGTGGAATTGTGTCGTTTAGTGATGGAATTGCCAATCCCAATTGAGCTCCTTAAAGTGCGGAATACCAGTGATTGTTGCCCATTCTGTAAGAGGAGACTGATGATGATGACAACATGGATGATGATAACGATGGTGATTTCCCCTTGTGCCTGTCACAGCTCTGGTGTTCCCAGAACAGGTGGTGGAGGCAAAGGTGGTGGAGGCACAGGTGGTGGAGGCAAAGGGGTGCAATAAAAAAAAAAGGCTGGAGGACACCTCCAATTTGCTAGCCCTCTGGGAAGGAAGGAGTGGAACTACTTTGCATATTTAGCAAGAGGAAAAAGGATGAAAGGAGCTGGATTAGCTGAAGGTTTAAAAATATTTTAAAGGATTCGGAGCAAAGAATGGGAACAGGATGTCTTGTGAGCAATAGTAACGTATAAGAAGCTTGATTTCAGTTCAGGTGAAAGGCAGACTTTAGAATAAACTTCCTAGGAAAATCATGACTCTTTCTGTTGAATTTTCAAGCAAAGAGCAGGAAAACCATCATCCAATGGTCAACAGCAAACTATTATACAGCTTGGGTTTTGAGTGGGGCTGCTTCTTTTAACCTTGGGAGTTGAGGTTGAATGCTATAAATTTGCTTTCTAATCTTTGTATATTCAGGATCACCTGTGTGACATGGGTGGCCATACAAATCATATACATAAATAGATAAAATGAATTACGGGGTTTAAAAAATGAATAATATAGAATTAGCTGTATATTCACTTACAGCAAATAATTACTTAGTACATGTTCTTACTCTGAAGTAAGATAAAGATAATGTCAGCAATCCAGGTTGACTGCTAATGACCTAATGCAAATTTATATATCTATGCTATAATTACAACATGGATATTATGGCAGTTGATAATGGGTAAAAACTATTGGAAATGGATTGTGATACTATTGGTGGGTGAAAAGGAACAAGAACTGAATCGTAATATCGTAATATTTTCCTCTACTGTCCTTTATTATTAGTCCTTTACTATTAGTATTATCTGTCCTTTATTAGTAGTAATCAATTAGTAATATTAGTAATTGTGTCTTTTATTAGTAATCAATTTTAGTAGGGGTCTTTCTTTTCTTTTTTCATGTTCTTAGTCCTACATAGAATTAGATTCTTCTTTGCAAGATGGCCGTGCCCATTTTTGCCTGTATTTTGGTTTGCATGGTGGTTTTTATATATTGATAGTTCTCCTAACCATCTCCCTTTGGAATTCATTTGATGTTCTTGTAATTTTTTATGCTGTACATATTGCCTGTTGTCCCCATGTTTCTTTAATCTTGATTTCTCTCTTCTTCTGAGAGAAATTTAATCATGCTTGCCACCTTCTTGGGGAATTTAACATTCTGGCTAAGGTCCAGCCCAACACTCTCACATTCTTTTTCAATGCTTCTTTTTTCCCCTCCCCCCCAGGACCCACTTTTTGACCCACTTCCCTTTCCCAATATGACAAAACCAGATTTAGGGAGAGGTTTTTCATCATACAACTATTTATTTTCTCTGTCTTGTTTTGTCTTGATTCTTCGATCTCTTCTCTCTGCTTAACAAACTGGTCCCTTTTTTGTCTGTATCCTTAGTTCTGAGGCCTTTTACTGGAAGAGGGTCTAGCAACTCTGTTCTCTGTTCCAAACAGACCTTTTTGTCTACGTGCAGGTGCTACTGAATTCAATGGAGGACTTCACTCGCTTGGGTTACTGCATTGTGGCTGGCAGCTTCGTAGCCTTCCAGTTCTCCTTCTCAGCCCTCAGCCCCCAGCTGTCCTTGTCCTTGAGCCCCAGCTACTCCAGCCTTCCTTCGGTCAAGCAGAATGAATGGAATTCCAGGTAGAGAGAGGCTCTGGTGGATGTGGCTGGACGAATGGTTGTGAGATTTGCAGTTCTCTCGCCTTTCCACTGTAAGAATCTCCATGGAACTTGAGAAGTTACGTTCCACATCTAGTGTGCTTTGCACAGAATAGTTGCATGTATATTGCAAGAGAGATATTGTACAGTTAAGTGCTGCAATTATGGAATAACCCTTATGTGTTCTCCTCTTTAGATGTGTGTCTACTCTTCACGCGGTAATAGTCGGCCTCTTCTGCCTCTACATCCTTTGGTATGATGCTGCTATAAATGCCAACCCCATCTGGTAAGAAATAACAAGCAATTGACTTGTATGCGTGCCTCCTGGGGCACACATGTATAGATTTGGCAGCTTGCTCTCCCTGACAAGAGAGAGAAAGAGAGGGAGAGAGAAAGAGAGGAAGAAGAGGAGGTGCCTATGAGCATGATTGTTTTCATTGTGCTGAAAAGCACAATGACTGTTTTGTGCTGAAAAAGAATAAGTCTTTGTTATACTTGGATTTTAGGATGTGAGGGGTGGAAACAGGGTCACTCCAGGCAAGAGGATCTGAACTGGCCTTGGCATTGGGCCTAAAAAGGTGCAAACATTCCTGCCCAAGCCATAATCACACCTTCCTTTAATCCCATTCTACACGTGCTCCATAGAACTATCCCTGCTATTTCAACGAATGGGCTGAGCCGATAGGAGATTCTAAATAGCAATAGCAATAGCACTTAGACTTATATACTTCTTTATAGTGCTTTACAGCCCTCTCAAAGCGGTTTACAGAGTCAGCATATTGCCCCCAACAATCTGGGTCCTCATTTTACCCACCTCGGAAGGATGGAAGGCTGAGTCAACCTTGAGCCTGGTGGGATTTGATCTGCCAAATTACAGTAGGAGTAGCTTGCACTCTAACCACTGCGCCACCGAGGCTAAAAAGCTAAGAAGGCACTGATACCATTACTGTCTCTATCTATAGCACACCTTATCTTTCTGTTCTTTCTCCCCAATTCCTGCTTGATCCCATTTGTCCACTTTCCCTGTTGTTTGGCTTTGCACAAGGCATGGCTGAAAGTCAAGGCACTCTAGATGCTGAACTCCTCATTCAAGATTTGGATGCAGAAGACTCACAGACACAACTTGACTAGAGTAGCTATTTAAAAATGAAGCCTAACACAGTACACAGGAGTTAGAAGGTATATGTTTGTGCTTCAGAATTTAAGTCCTAGCCATCTTCCTTTGTCTTCCCATCTCTTCAAGATGGCTGAAGTTGAAAGATTGACATAACAGTTTTCTCAAGCCTGGGAATTAATGGTTCCTGCTACAGCAACTTCACTCCTTCCACCTATCACATTTTGCTGACAAACATCTCGGCCTTAAATTAGAATTTCATAGAAACATATTAATGCCTCTGTTTATAACCTCTTGTGGATTACCATTTCTCATGGACATTTTGAGTTAAAGATTGATTTTCTACCTTGAAAAATGAGGCAGGAATTCTAAGGTATTTCAAATAACAGAACTAACCATCAGTAGTTCAGAACCATATTATTACTAGACATGAGATCAAAGAAAGGTGGTTGAATCTAGGAGAAGGTAGAAACAATATAGTTTTTTTACAGTTCCAAATCCAATAACTATATGATGATTTATTATTGCCTCATTTACAATAATTCTATAGAGTAGGGCACTATTTAATTTTATGAGGATTTTATGCTCCTACTTTATACTGGGGATGGGATGAAACAGAATAATGAAAACAGTATTGTATCATTGTGAAAGAAATCGTGCAAGTTTTGTTTTGTGTGTCATAAAGTCACACACATATACAAAAAAAACCAGAGCTTCCAGTACAGTGCTGCAGCAGTGCTTCTGTCATTCTGATAAATGCAACAGGCACCTTTGCATGCTCCTTTTGTATGTGTGTAGAGGTTGTATGAGTGTATATGTACATTGTGTTTGTGCATATACATATATGTAAGTTTATGTACATGTATGTGGGTGTACATATAAATTATATATGTATCAGTTTAGCAACACTGAAATGTTTTTCAAAATGCCACATGATGTTGCCTGATGGAGGTTGGGGGAAATGAATTAGAAATGGGTTCCTCTCTCAATACCAGATCTTTGTCTTTTGACCTTGTCTCCAATCATTCATCCTTGTAGGGGAGATCCTTGGTTGGTGAAACTGAATGTTGCTGTCACCTGTGGCTATCTGCTCTATGGTAAGCACCACACCATTGGGTTTCACAAGGTAGGCTAGAGGGTTTGTTTTATTATTTTATTTTATTCATTAAATTTATATGTTGCCCATTTCACTGCTGGAGTGACTTTCAAGGCAGCATTCAGATTTGCAGTGAAGATTTTCCTTGCCATAATAATCCTGACATATAATGATCATCTTTGTTAATATGCTTGTCTTTTCCCTGCCTTCCTCTCGGCCAATACTACTGGGAATACCTCCTACATGAGATCCATTACAATACACAAGCAGTTATTATTCCACTACTAAGATATTTCCAATAGTTTATATCCAAAAGAATTAAATTAAAGCAAGACTGCCAGGAGCTCCCTCCTTTTCTTTGATCATGATGCAGTGAGGTGGAGGATTCCTTAGAAAGGAGAAAACTTTGCAAGGGATTGCAATAACTGAGGCCAGTTGAGGTTGTGTAGTCAGCTTACTGAGAGGTTGGGTTATTGTTTCACTTTTCCTTTCAATCATTTTGCCCCAAACTGCTTTGAACAACTTTTCAGCTTGACAGAAAGCCATGTTTTCAAGTGGGATCCAGATGTCTAAATAAAGATGAACAAATCTACAACTGTCCCATGATGTGCTCAAATGTTGTAATGCCTTTCGTTCCCTTGTCTTCCTTTAAACCAGTGCCACTGGGGATATCTTGTAATGTGACCCATTATAGGAAATATACACTGGACATTTTTCTGAAAGTGGCTGACTTTGACCATTAAAGAGGAGCAATTGGATTAAACTCAGAAGAACTTGGTTTGATATCCCGTTTCTTATTTTATTTTTGATCCATTACTACAATTAAAATATATATGTACTGTTTATAGACCACAAGAATCATATAAACAAATAAACAAAATAATAAATTGGTCATGTAGGAGGTATGAAAAAATAGGTCAGTTTTTATTTGATATTTGCAATGTGCATGTTAGTGTCACATTTTTCAGCTATACATACATAATACATGAAACCAGATGAAAAATAACTATTAATTCCCTAGTTCTACAATATTTGCTCACATGCCTCTAGTCGTCAAACAGTCACATTGGTAGCATTAAAGCCAACCATTTATCTCCACATCTTTTTGGGGTAATTTGAGGTACTTTCCCACCCCACTTCTTGGAATGACGAGTGGTTATAATATTGTAATATTGGCTGAGGCACTTGTGCCTTATCATTAAAACGGGGGCAGGTTTTCAACTCAACTCTTGCCTGCCAGACTTAAAGACTCTGCTAAGGTATCAGGCTCTGTGGTATTTAGAGATGCTGCTTTTCTGAAGGCCCTAAATATGGTATTGCAACAGGCCTGGGAACCACAAATGCAGATGAAACCAATCAAGTGGCTGATTTGAGTGTGTTGTTGCCAACATGGGGAGGGGAGTTTGTGGAGTTTTTGTTATGCAGTGGATTTTTAAAATGTTTTAAAATGTTTGATAATTGATAGGTAATTAGCTTAAAATTTAAAAAATCCATCACATTGGAGCCACCTATGAATGAATTGAGCAACTACATTAATTTGTTAAATAATAAATAAATGTGTGGAGTATGTGAATATAGGGGTAGAATAGAATAGAATAGGAAATAGAAAATAGAAAAGTGATTGAGTACTAGTGCAAGTTATATTACCTGCAATTGCCTATCAAATTAGCTATTGGACAGGATTAAAAAAAATACTAGAAGAATCTGAGGTGAATTCAGTTACTTTTCCAGAGAAAATTTGATTCCCATAAAAATGGAGCCAGGGCCGTGAGAATTGATCCTGCTCCTCAGTGCTCCCTGTTTTTGATGCTGAAGAAGGCCGGCACAGATTACAGGGCTAACTTTTAACCACTTTGAGAGAAGACACTGAGTCTGATCATGGTTTGTGCAAAGGACCTTTCTCCCAGCATTTGCTCTGAGAAATTATTTTCCTTTCAGGAGTTTCAGCCTTTTTCCACCCTCATTCACTTATGGCTGGGATTATTCTGTTGCCCAGCTGCATTCCAAGGACTCTTTTTTTCCCCTAATCTTCTGAGATTGGTTTTGACTGGATCGTTCCAGTGAGGTTTTGATCTCATGTGTTCAATTAGCTGATGAGATCTACTTCCTCAAACAGGGACTCTCTGTGTTAAAGCAAATCCCCCCCCCTTCCTCTGGTTTGACCAAATGTTTTGTTTGGGGAAGTTTAATTAATTGAAATTATTTACTCAGAGGAATCAGTGGATTGCTGAGATCCTGTTAAGATTTCTTTAAGAAAGGATTGGGGGTCAGACAGACGACATCTAAGATGTTTACAAATGAAGGGCATTTTGTATGCAGAATATTGAGTTATTCATGAGTAGAGGATCTCAGTGTTCAGACTGCCAGTATTTGCTATGCACCTGTGCTGCTAATGGCAGCATAAAAAAAAAAGAGAGAAATAAATTAGGAGTCAAATTTTTTCTATCAACATTTGGAAAAGCCTCAACTGCCAAATCTCTGCAGGTAGCACAGCTGAAAGAAGCAGAGCCATAGGGGGGAAAGAAATCGCCTTACTCTTGCATTTACTTTCTTAAATATGAAATTATTTTCTATATGTTTATTTTCTAGTAAAAACAAGTTGCTTGTTTATGAACATGTGTTCTGCTCTGAATTCCAGATCTGTTGCTGCTAGTGCGCTACTGGAAGACATTGGGGGATTCTCTTTTCGTTTGCCACCACTTGGTGGCACTATATGCTTATGGATACGTATTGGTTAGTTCCAGAGACCTTTAATTTTTCTGGTGGGTGGGGCGGGGCAGAGAGGACTTTGCTCTTCATCCTTAAAAAAAAAGTCTATGCTTCTTCAACCCACTTCAGTGCCTTCTGCAATATCCACCACCTCAGCACCTCCAATCCAACCTCTATGAGGAAACATTTTCTGGTATTTGCCATCTGCTCCAATCACCTGAAGGATGAGACAGTTATCTTCTGTATGTTACTTTAATTGTACAAATCCCAGACCTGCAAAAGGGAGGCCAGATGCAGAGCAATCCTAAGAATGAAGAGACCTAGGTTTGTTGTGCAGTAGAAATGAAATGTAAAGAACAGATGATGGCAGAGCCTAACTTTTTGCTGCCATCTAGTGGTCACCTGGCTTTTGTTGTCCTCGTTCGGGAGACACATACAATACAGATAGTCTTCAACTACAATCGGGCCCAAAATTTCTGTTGCTAAGGGAGACACTTGGTAAGTGTGTTTTGCCCCATTTTACAACCTTTCTTGCCACAGTTGTTAAATGAAACTGCAGTTGTTAAATTAGTAACATGGCTGTTAAGTGAATCTGGCTTCCCCACTGACCGCTTGACAGAAGGTCTCAATGACCTGGGACTCTGCAACCATCATAAATATGAGTCCGTTGCCAAGCCTATGAATTCTTATCATGAGGCCATGGGAATCCTGCAACCATTGTAAATGTGAAAAATGGTCATAAGTTACTTTTTTCAGTGCTTTTGTAACTTCGAACGGTCACTAAATGAACTGTTGTAAGTCGAGGACTAACTGTACAGTGGGGGGTTGGACTCTTTAGAGCAGAAGGTGTTAGAAGTCTTGAGGTGGTCCTTTTAAGGTCATGTTCATGTTGTAGATTCTCCAACAGAAATGTGAGACGTCTGACTTCCCTTAAAACTACACTTGTTCATTCTAAGATGCAAAGAGCAAACATATACTTCCAGAATTCTGCTCTACTGATCCATTTTGTGGTCTGGAAGGCATTCCCTGCCTTAGGAATAAAAAGCATACTAGAGAGCTAGATTTTATACACGATTTATTCAAAAAAAGAATAAAGCCCATCCTAGGATAAGATTTATTTTAGGGCATAACTTTTCCAAATGAGTCACAAAAATAAAGATTAGCTGATGGTAAAGATTTATGGTATTCTAGGACCGTAATAAAGATTTGATTTGATATAATAAATTAGGACTAAAAGATGATTGAATGAATCCAGCATTTAAAACTCCCTATGGCAATTTTAAAAATCAAGCATCCTTCAGAGTAAGCATATAAAGAACTGGAATAAAGCCAAGTAAAGAAAAACTCAGGATTTAATAATTATATCCCCAGGCTATGCTAAAAACCAGAAGTTATCATACTTGTGGAACCCCAAGGAAAAATGTTCTCTTTAGTGTAAGAAATGAAAATGTTCTCTTTAGTGTTAGAAGTTTGAATTTTCTACCCAACAAGAACTTTGTCATATTACCTCTATATCTATCAAATAGTTTTGGATCAACTGTGCCCAAATGTTAAGCAATATAACAGAAATTATTTAAAAAAATTCCTGAAATCTTCTTTGATTCCATGTAAGAACAGAAAGATCACAGTTGGCTTTGTGAATCTATCATACAATTCAAACTGATTCAGGCTGAAAATGTGCCTTCCGGATCTCTAGTTCTCTCTGGTTATTTGAGGACAAACATATGTAGATTCATGTAGCCAAAGCTACTTCAGAAAATGAAACACTTCAACGAAGTGGCAGAGAACCCATTGTCAGGACCACGCCCCACTCATCATCAACAGAGAACGAGTGGAAACTGTCCCTACGATCAGATTCCTTGGCATCCATATTTCAGCTGATATTTCCTGGTCCCCTAATACCAAGGCCATAGTGAAGAAAGCTCAGCAGCGGCTGCACTTCCTGCGGGTTCTCAGGAAGAACAATCTGGATAAGAAGCTGTTGTGGCTTTCTATAAAGCCTCTGTGGAGAGCACTTTGACATATTGTCTGGGTGTGTGGTATGCAGGCTCCACAGTTGAGGACAGGAAAACTGTACAGAGGGTGATAAACATAGCTCAAAAGATCATTGGTTGCCCTCTGCCCTCCCTGGAAGACTTAGCCAGGTCCCGCTGCCAAAGCAGAATCAAGGCCATTATAGAAGACCCCTCACACCCTGGCAATTATCTTTTTGACCTGCTGCCGTCTGGGCGGTGTTTTAGGTCAATAAAATCCCACACCACTAGACTAACAAATAGTTTCTTTCCCTGGGCCATCCGAACCGCAAATAAACACGAAGTCACTACCTCATTAAGATGTGAAAAGATGTGAAATCTCAATACCCCATTCAGATGTATAATAACATATTACAGTACAATCCATCTCTTGTGTACTCGGCTAAGCGTTACAGTCAGTGTTGGATGTATATTTTGTGTATATTCATAGATATTGTATTCTCAAATTGCAAATGGAGACGTGGGTACTCTATCTTTCTTATCTTCATTTTTAAGTGCTTTGGTTTTATTGTATTGCGAACAGTTGCTGGGGTGCATCCACAGTTTCATTGTACTTGTACAATGACAATAAAGTTCTTCTAATTCTAATTCTAAAGATAAAATATGCAGTTTCTCCTCAAAGTTCCTTTTTCATCTTGAAATATGAATGAAAAAAAATCACTGCATATCAATGAAGAGGGAAGAAAATGTCTATGCTCTATGTGAATGCTGCAGGTTCCTACAAGTCACATAGATTTGGATATGAATGTCCAATAAGCACAAAGTTATATGAGAAAGAGAGAGCTGACAGTTATAGATAGATATTAAAATAAAGAAAAATAGCATATACATGACAAAATCATGTAATATTGAAATTTACATTTAATAAGGAAGAAATAAAATTTAAAATATATTTCCTATATAAAATTAAAAAACAACCCAATTGTTCAAATATTCTTTTTATTGAATGGGAAGTGGAAGTGGGAGAGGAAAGGAGAGGAGAGGAGAAATTGTTTCCTATGAAACCCGTAACAGCCATGGAACTTTAAGAAGAACAAAGGCCTCAGGGCCAAACAGCTCGAGCAAATGCTTAGGCTGAATAAACTATCACTGAACAGACCACCAAAAATTTGATAAACTAAATTAGTTTTTGAAACAGTTAACATAAGAAATAAATTGGAATAAAATTGTAAGAGATTCACTTTACCTTCCAAATAGATTTATTGACTGTTTTTAAATTGGAGTACCCATTATTTCATGGTAAAAGGATCATTGTTATGTCTGCAACTTAAACTTTTCTGAATATATTTTGTGACATTAAATGTAAATATTGAAGCTGATCTCTGAAGAAAGAAGGATAATTTTAGTGGTAGCAGCATGTCTGCTTATATTAGTTATCTGTTCTGTTGCTGTCAAATATATTTTGCTTTTCCTTCTTTCTGGGAGAAGAGGAGAGTTGAGATCTCTACTTAAAACTTTAAAGATTCAGTGAAAAAGGCAAAGTCTTTAGAATGGCCATGGGATGGTAAAATCAAAATCTGAGATATTTCTTTCCTTTTCCATAGAGTCGTGGGGTGCTTCCCTATTTTGCCAACTTCCGTCTCCTTTCAGAACTCTCCACACCTTTTGTGAATTTGCGGTGAGTTTGGTGATATCAGAAACAAAATGGGTGAATTCAATAGCTTCCCCGAGAACATGTAGTTTTTTTTAATAAAGGGGCCCTCATATCTATGTTCTTGGGAAGGACACCCATACCCCTTCCCCATTAAAGCCAGAGGGCTGAGCTCAACACCTGCTGCATGCTCATATCTAACTATTTTAGTCACCTGTTGTAATTCTGAGAGTGATTTTTATGCTAACATCCATGTGCTATATTTTTTTTAATTTTGTGTTGCCTCAGGTGGTTCCTGGATGCAACTGGGTGGTCACGTACTTCAAGGCTTGTTTTGGCCAATGGCTTGGCCATGATGGTAGTGTTCTTTATGGTGCGCATTGCTGTCATCCCCAGCTATTATATGCAAGTATACTCTTGGTATGGAACTCCTGAATATGAACGTTTGGGCCTGGGTGTACAACTGGCCTGGATTGGGCCAAGCATTGCCTTGGAAATGCTCAATTTGATCTGGATGTACCGCATTGTCCGTGGCTTCTACCGAGCTTTATGCTGGTCTAAGACCTACAAGGCAGCATGAAGAAAGAAAAATAGTGGTACTTGACCTGGAAAACCCAAGTTCTGCTGGAAAAAAATGAATTCCCTCTTCTAATCCCCTCAGAAGCCAGTAGCCCTAGAAAATGTTCCTGACTATGTCCTTGGGGAAAGAATCCCAGATTCATTAAAAAGGGAGCATATAGTTTTCCATTCAATCAAAGAAAGGTTCTGGCCAGATTGACTAGATTCAGCAATTTTGGCACAAAATTCAGCAATTTTGGCACACTTTGGCACAGATGGGAATGCTTGAGAAATACTGTTTCGGGGACTCTGCTGACAGTCCACAGAACTTTTGAATGAGACTTTGTGTAGTTAAACAGGTAATGTTCCTAATACTTCAGGAATTTAACCTCTTTCAACTATCAATCTGTGTATGATGATGATGATGATCAGGTACTGTTTCCTCCTAGGAAGAAAAGACTGGCTTCTGCTAGGGGCTTTTGGGGCATGTTTAACAGTAAAGTGGATGGAAAATAGTGGAAGGGTGAGGGAAGAAATAGTGTCCAGTTATGAACAGTGGGATTTCCCAGGACCCAGTGGCTGGATTTCAGGACCTTGGCTAGAAGGACAGCAATACTGTAAATAGCACTCTTGTTTTACTAAATCAATTGAAACTTGGCATTCCATTGAAGAACTTGCTTATACAATAGCAGTTAAATTTCTAAAGACCAGAAACAATAATTTTAACAAGGCTAACTTCAAGGCATACCTGCCTTTGCTCAGCGGTTTGGATAAATCAAAACTGAAATGTTACCTGGTGCCTCTAAATGTGTCAGGAATACACCTCCCCAAATCCCCATCTGCTATGGATATCTTTCACTCTGATGTCATTACTTCTTGTGGCTGCCAATCTTGTATATGACAATCACATCTTCCCAACAACGGTTTACAGTGAAAGTTTCTTTATTCCCAAATGTATGCCTCAGTGAATGCAGCCGTGTTGAAAGGTATAGCCACTACCACACTAGGCTGAACTTGTTTAATTTTTCTTTGTTCTCAAGAGTCTAAATCAAGGGTCTTCAAACTTGGCAAGTTTAAGACTTGTGGACTTCAACTCCCAGAATTCCTACTCCAGTCATGTTAGCTCAGGAATTCTTAAAGCTGTCAAGTTTGAAGACCTCTGGTCTAAATAAATAGCTGGTGCAAGATTCCCTTTCCCCCAAAGCCATTGACAGAAGCTTCTTGTTTTCCCCTCTGTGTTTCTATGCTTTTCTTCTTCTGTTATAGTTGTTTTTCATCCTGATACATGCAAACACAGCCACTAGTACACAGGTAGGATATTGATGTTGATTTTGTATCAGAGTTGACAAAAGTATAATGGTAAGAAATGGCAAATCCTAATAATAGAATTTATTTAAGAATTTTTGAAATCTGTGAATTCCAACAGATGCCAGGGTCAGAGGACTAGTTGAAACGTAGCATCAACACAAACCTAGAAGAAGAACCGCACTGTAGAAAATTCCACAAACTTACTAATGTCTCATTTGCTAATATGGAATATCACACCACACGGATGTACAAGGAATATGCCCATATGTTGCATGGCTAGCTATTGCTAATTTTCAAGAAAGACTAAATCTAAAGTTAGCCTTAATGGCAATGGCATTTAAAGAAAAGGTATATGGTTCCATTAGCTGTGACTGTGACTAATGGGTTCAATTTAAGCCTTCCTACCTTTTTCTTTATTTAAAATGCATTAATAAAATAGGAGGTGGCCATCTATGAAAACCAGCTGTGCTGTGATTGGTGGATTGTTTTCCACCAGCTGTTGTCATTCAGAAAAGGGGTGGGCAGGAAGGCCAGAGGTTTAATCAATGACTTTGCTTAACATTCTGCACCCTTTGAATCAAAACACCATCACAATGGTGACAATGCTATAGAGCAGGGGTGCCAAACTCACATCGTCATGGCAGCATCACGTGACATATTGGGACTTTTTCCCCCTTCGCTAAAATGTGTGTGAGCATGGCCAGTGCATTATGCATCTGGCCCGTGGGCCGGGAGTTTGACAGCTCTGCTATAGAGACATCTATATGGATCAACAGAAAACTTTATGGTTACATAATTTTTGCCAGCTCAAGGATGAGCAGATAGTACTTTAACCAAATAACAAGGAAAAGTCCTAGATTCAGACACCATGAGTTGCTTGCTTAACACAGTGGTTTTAAAGAAGTACATGAGAAATACTTTGGCTTAATATATAGTATGAACATAATCAATGAGAGACTTGAATGTCTTGAGTATGAAGCCATTCCAGAGAGAGGCTTGATTACAGAGCTCTAGAAGCATTTAATTCTGATTGCATAATAGCAATAGCACTTAAACTTACATACCACTTCACAATGCTTTACAGCCCTCTCTAAGCAGTTTACAGAGTCAGCATATTGCCCCCAACAATCTAGGCCCTCATTTTACCCACCTCGGAAGGATGGAAGGCTGAGTCAACCTTGAGCCTGGTGGGATTGGAACAGCCGATAGTCAGCAGAAGTGGCCTGCAGTACAGCACTCTAACCACTAGTGCCATAGAGGCTCTTTTAACATTCCTAGAACATATTTGGCTTTATTGAATGTAGTTTTTCCTTGTGATTTTAGATTACTTCATGCTCCTTCAATATAGTATGTTGATTCTTTGTGATGAAAGCCTTTGACTTCATTCTTAAAGCTTCCTTACTTAGATACCAGATCATTATAACTTCTTAGCCCTGGGGTTAAATCCATTGTATACCAAGTATACAAAATGCAAGCACTCTAAGATTGTTTCTTAAATTTACAATATTTAATAGTATTTGGTGCCAGGGGAATGAGCTGTGATTTTTAAACAGAAGCTGAAGAGCTTTGTTCCTAGATATGTGCCTTAAAACAACATTGCCAAACAGTCACCTTAACAACCTCAAATAGGCTGCCTTATTTTGTTGCCTTCCAGTTGTATTAGATTGCAATTCTCAGAGTTCCCAACAGTATGAAAAACACCCACCTCCCTCTCTACCCCCACTGTTGTAATTGTAGGAGCTGTAGTCTCAACATGTTGGGAAGCTATCAAGTAAGGGAGACCATCCTAAAAACTTAAAAAAGCCCTCTCTTTTTTTAGATCTCTACAGCTGGCAACATCTATTATTCTATTCAGATGGGTTATGCCTCATATATAGCAGTGAAAAATGGCTGATTTTTTTCCAGCAAGTTTGAATACTTAAATTCTCACAATGCAATGTTTGTAATTTTCTACCCTCTGTATATTAACTGGAATCAATGAGTGTTAATTTAAATAATAATATAAATAAATAATATTAATTTATTTTAAAAAAAACCTGTTTTGATCTTATGTGAGCATCTGTGAATTGTACTTTGTGGATGTTAAATTTCAGCCTGAGCTGTGGGATATATTAATGGAAGTGTGTTTATACCATATATGGATAGATGGAACTTAAAGGCCACATCCCACTGTACTTTACTAAATTCCTTCTTAACATATACCTAACGTGGTCTGCCAGGCACCCAGGTTGTGAAAATGAGAGGAAAGCTCATTCCAGGGCAGAAATGCTGCTGCTTCTACTATTATATTTTGTTTTATTTCACCCCTCCTTCCTTCATGCATTACTTTAATGTAGCTATGGATTTGTGTTTCTATTGAGAATTAAGCGTTATAATTAATTTAGTTGTAAAGTTATGAGACTTAATTTTTGCTGCAGCATTCTAGCATAACTATTGCTGTGGAAATCAGGAGTCTCTGAGAAATCATATGGCAGACAACAACATAACCTTACAGAAGCTTTAACCAAGTTCGTACATTTTCCTGTATCATGGTTAATTTAGTGAATAAGCCAGTTGACTAGATTGCATAGAACAAGGATGGGCAACCAGACCTTTTGGATATTATGACCCTATGCTCCTCTTTTCTGGACTTTCCAGCTCTCACTGGCAGGAGCTGTCAAAAATCAGTGCTGAAAAAAAAATCAGACTTGATTTATAACTCTTGCTATTGTCTCTCCAGAATTTCAAACACAGGGGAAGAGAAAAATGTTTCCTTAGATCACCTGAGTATCTTTAATTTCAGTCAAAAACTGCTTGATTTTTCAGAGAAAGGAAAATACAGGCTTATGCAAATCTGAATATGACCATCTTTGAGGGACACCAGGAAAATAATCCAAATGTGTGATATTAGTGTACACATTTTCTGATTAGAACTTGGGACCAGTAAAACAATTTCATGAAATCCATTCTCTGTAGAACTGATAGGAGAACAATATTTTGGAGAAACTGCATACCGTCTGGGTTCCATGATGGACAATGGTTAAAAAGTGAATTAAAAAAATATTTTTTGTTCTGGTTGCAAGCAGTGGTAATTAAAATCACCCTTTACTCAGTCCTTTGTTAAATAATGGATAATTCTGGAACTTTTTTTTATAAACTTATAATTACTTTTGCTTGTATATGGGCAAGCCAGTAGTGCCTGTTACTGCTTTGGTTACCAATACATTTTCAGCTAAAATTCAAAATACTGGTTTTTAACTTAGAAAGTCCAATGTGGCAAGGCTTTTAGATGCTTGCTGGACTTTTCACTTCACACAATAGTAGCCCACATGACTTTCAGGGTCCATCTTTTGATTATCTCCCCTTGAGATGAAAGGGGAGGGTAAGCAAAGAGGCAGAGTGTTTTTCATTGTGACCCTAGTATTAGTCTCTCTTTTAATTAGTCTGTTTGCTTTCTGAAGGGCCTGGGGGAATAAAGCTATGCTTCCTTGTATTCTGTCTCTGTATCCATTTTTCTCAGATGTTGGTAATCTTTTATATTTTTATTATGTAAATTGCCAGAAGCTGCTTTTGAATTTGGCAATATATAAATTTAATAGAATAAACACACACAATTAAATAGATTGTCCACTAAATAGCAAGGCAATGGCATTACCACTGATTTATTTTGGCCACATTCACTAGCTGCATTTACCCTACAGCTGATGCATTTGCCATGCTGTATTATCCAAAGTTTCCTTCTTGGAATGGTGCATCATCACTTGTAAATTTAGTACATTCATTGCAATGTGATGGAACACAATAGTCATACCATGGATTCCCTTTCTGCAAGGGAGATCCCCAGTCTTTCTTCTCTTTGTCCAAATTACCAGTGCTCCAGGTTTAACAACACTAGATGGGATGCAGCAGCAGTAGTGATCCAGTAGCAATTTTGCTCTCTTTC